CTGTGTAGTCGAGCTCTTTGGGTGTCATATATATGTTGGCAAACGGAGAGGGAATATAGAATAGGTATTCCTTTAGGGCTGGCATTCCGTTAGCTATGAATCTATCGTTTAGTTTATACCAAATCTTCGCTTTCTCTGCGTTCACTAGTTTTCTATATTTCTCTTTCACTTCTGTCTCGCAATTTGTTGGCAAACCTTTTAAATAGAAATATTATTAATAATAAAGTTGACAAGTATATAAGTGTGTTAGCAATTGCACTAGCGTTAATTTAGGACATAATTATAAATTATTGTAAAAAATGTTTATAAAAAGTGTCATGCTGTGATTTTTTTTATTAACTTTGATTATTTGTTATTTTATTATCTAATATGTAATTAATGTTTATCAGCTTGATCCAAGTGCAATATGTTTAATCAATTGCAGTATTTACATTTTTATGTACCGGTACACTATAGTGTATTTTATTTATGTACAAGGATATTTATAAAATAATTGTTTTATAATTAACCCGGTGGGACCGGGGCTGAGTTCTTAGCAGTGTTTGCATATAACGGCCAAATTGTTGGCCATCGGCCTGATTAATAAACTCCAAAACCATCCATCGGCCCGAATAGATGATCAAGTAGAATGTCGGTCCCGACACCCGGAATCTATACCCCGGTGTAATCCTGTCGTAGACCAGTCGCACCCAACCCGCCGTCGGATTCACGTGAAATATCTCAAGATAGTCGGCCCGTTCCCCGTCGTGGTAAGTGACGCACACCACCGCCCGTTTGAACGGATGGTACCGTCCGGTGCTCTCATAGGTCCACAGCTGCACGAGTCCTGTGGCCAGAGAGGCGCAGCCCTGGTATAGACGACTCAGCACTTGATTGTTCTCGACCTCCGATAGAGCCCGCGATCGCCAATGGTTTGCAGCCATTGAGTCCCAATCCCTGTACCCCTTGTTTGCAAACTATCCGCCGCTAAATCTAACCAACAATTAAGTGCTTTTTGCATTTTATTTTGATGTTTTTTGTAGTGTTTGAAATTATGTTGTTATTGATTTTGTTTTGTTTTTATAAAGTTTTAATTCAATCGTTTTAATAACATTTATTATTAAAAGTTATAAATTATAAGTTATAACTTAGAATTTAAAAATTAACAAAACATCAAATTTATAGCCAATTATTAACAATACATTTCTTTTTTCTATAATTTTGTGAATTATAATAAATGTACACTTAATTTATAGCAAAATGAGATTGTGTTTAATGAATGGCATCAAAAATATCAAAACAAATAATGTGAATGAATGGGAGGATAAGTGTGAGAATTAAATGTTGACTAAAACTGTTTAGCAAACAATCACTACATCTCAACCTTTGGTCGTATCGCTCGCTTCCGACTCACTTCCCGAGCCGCCCGTACCGGCGCTGTCCTGATTGTTGGCCGGACTGGTAGTGGTCTGAGTAGTAGTGAACACATAGCCGGCCGGAGGGTATGCGTGCTGTAGAGTCCAATGTCGGGCCGTTTCGTTGAAGTTCTTCCGGTTTTTGGTGTACAACGAGCCGATGTTTGTATCCACGGGGTTGGCCTCATCCGGTTGAATCATCAATTGCCACACCGACCACAACACCTCTTTGACTGTCACACTTGCACTCCATTTGTTGCACCACTTGTGGTCACATATGGCACCCAATTCGCTGATATTCGGGTGAAAGATTCTTGTGGTCAAAGTGACAGTGAATGGCTTCAATGGATAACTTTGAGGGAATGTGATCCTCACGTTGAATAGCCCGCCCTCATAGGGAGTGCCCGGCGGGCCCTCAATACTGCCCGTCCACTGGAAATAGTCGGTGCCATTGGGTGCGGCCGTACAGCCCGGCGGTGGGTCTCTCCGTAATTCTGCCAATTCTGCTTTGATTCTCTTCAAAGCCATTGATTTCAAAGCGATGGATAGTTGTCTTAATTTAATGACAATTACTTTGATTGTTTTGCCGTTTGTTTTGTAATTATAATTGAAATCAGATTTAAATTTAAATATTGTTTTGTCGGTTGTTTTAGTGGTAGTAAATCTCGTGTCCAATAGTGTCAATACAATTACATTTTTCAATTAATTTTATGCTTATTTTTATTACAAATGCTATTTGTAATCAATTTTAAATTTCATTAGCAATAATAATAATGACCATGTGCCATTAATAAATTTATACAATCAGTGCGTGAATTAATTATTTTGATTTTTAGTTACATTTATTGAGTGATAAACGTATGCATAGAATAAGTGCTAAACATATTTTGCAAACATTTATAGCTATAGACATAAAAAGCTGTCAAAACATTGAGAACATTGAGAAACAATTGTTCAAAATATGGACACAAATGACAATTCAAGACAAACAAAGACAGCGACACATAAAAGAGATACTGATTTGCAAACTCTTTGGCAAAGACTGAGTGGTTGGCAACGGATTGAGTGTCCCATAAGTGCCAACACATCGGATCCACGACATGACCATCGCTTCAATGCCTCCAAACCTGAACCACAAATGAAATGTTTGCTCAAAACATTGCCAAAGAAGTCATCCATTAGTCGCGGATCTAATTTTCTCACTTTATATACTGATTGTAATCATAATAATTAGCTTTGTTTTTATATTTTGCTTTTAATTATATTTATTATAACTTTATTATAAGTTTTTCAATGTATTTATTGCATGTTTTCTGGTTGTTATAAGTTTTGCTTTATATTTCATTAAATTCAGTGATAAATATAATAAATTGCATTCATTTCATCACATATTTATAAATTACAATAAAATAAACTTTTATTTAAACATTTAAACCAATTATAAAGACTATACAAGTATTAAACACATAATAAAAATGTGATAAACGATAACATTTATCCCTTAACTTAACAAATTGACTAAACCTTTAACATAGCGTTCAATACATTCAATGCAATGATGTGTTGAATGTGTGTTAAAACACAAACACTTTATTCACTTTTTAACACTAATAGTGTTAACAATGCATTCAAACGTCACTCAAATATATTGCTCTCACTTTCAATGCATTGCTTTCAATGAATAATGTTTTTTACTGTTTTGCCGCCAAATCATACATAAAGTACTCAACATTTTTTGCACACAATTATCAAACCCTAGACTTTGTTTGACTGCATTTCACATACAATACAAGAAAAACCCTAAAACTTATGGAAAACGTAATTCAATTGAAAACCAATCATTAGTTTTGTGTCAAAACTTTATTACACTTATAGTCAAGCATTTGATCGCAAATTTCAACACAAAGTCTTTACTAAAACTATCACTTCAAACGGATCCCAAAGCGCAGCCATCGATGTCTGACAAGTCATTATCAATACTGGAGGCGAAGAAGAGTTGGCGGAGACGTCGCAAAAGCAAGACGTCCATCGATGGCCACGAAACGGATCCCATACTCGACCAATACTCGTACTCTTCAGCTGAAGACGAGTACCGCTGTCTTCGGTGTGAGTATCGTACCAAACGTCACCTCAATGTCCGCCAGCATATGGTGTCGCACTCGGATGTGCGGCCCTATCGTTGCCACGACTGTCCCGCCGCTTACAAACGCCCTCAAGAGCTCAAACGCCACGTGATATATATGACACCCAAAGAGCTCGACTACACAGACGTGAGGCCATTGCCCGACACTTTCCATCGGTTTGATTATTTCAAACGTACGGGAAATCAGGACTCGTTTGAAATTCCCGATAAACTCCGCAACAAATCGGGAAAATTAATTTACCTATAGTTGGGTTCAATGAGTTCGGCAGATGTGCGGCTCATGAAGAGGTTGATCGCGATTTTGGCCAAATCTAAGCACAGGTTTATTGTCTCGAAAGGTGTCAATCATAATGAATACGATTTTCCGGACAATATGTGGGGCGACAGGACTTTACCACAGATCAAAGTGTTGCCTATCGTTGATCTAATGATAACACACGGCGGCAACAACTCGACGACTGAAACCATGTATTTTGGAAAACCAATGATAGTATTACCGCTAATACAAGACCAATACGATAACGCACAGAGAGTTATGGAGAAAGGGTTTGGCATTAAACTCGATCATTTTAACTGTACTGAACAACAATTATTGCAATCCATTGATAATGTATTGAATGATAAAGTTATGGCTGAAAATTGTGCAAATGTTTCCCAAAGAATTCAAAGCGAAAAATCAATTGAAAAGTTGACTAAAATAGTCGAAAGTTTAGTTAAATAACTATAAACTTAATTTAATGGCAAAATTGAAAATTATGTTTTAAATTATATAAATATAATAAATAAAACATGTTAACGAATAAAATGCCTTTATATTATTTTACAATTAACATTTATTAAAGTTGTTTAATATTTATGATAAATTTAATTCAATTCGTATATTAATATTGTGATATCATTTCGTATTCCCTGTATAATCAGTTCCCAGTATATCTTTTATCTATACTTGTAAGATATTAAATTAAAATAAAACTTACCCATGTAAATTTCTAGATTATGCATTATAATTAAATTAAAATTACATTAGATGTTATATTTTTATAAAAGAGAATTTCGAATTTGAGGAAAATCAGCCTCTGAGAGGTACCAGGATTTTCTCGGTGCCAATCGATAGATCTCATGCTAACTAACAATAGCTATAATTACGTCGACCCGATCCGAGTGGTACATGACCTCCAAATCGGGTCCCGAACTAACCAATATTTCGGGAGTTGTAAAAGTGTATTATTTTACTTCAAAGCATGTCATATAAGATATCAATGGAAAGGTCTCGTTGGGATGATCAAGATTTGTCATATTTGAACAACCGTAAACTCAATTGAACTGTTAGTAATGGCATAATTTGAACAATAAAAGTCATTTAAATGTTAATTACATAGTTATTGTTTATTTAACCGGTTGGGGTCAATAACATGGATGTACATGGAATAAGGAGTCCCCTGGTATAGTCTATATTGTTTAGCCACCTCGGGTACGGCCGCAGTGACCACTTTTATCGGAAAAATTCAACTTATCCAATACTAATATGCGATATATGAAATCGATGTAGAATTTAATGTAAAACTAGAATATCAGAATTTCACATCTGTGCGGTCAATAGATTTTACGTTATTTACTTAAAACTGTTGAATTTTAAATAAAATTAGTAAAATAATCGATTATTCCTCAACCCCTCGAGATGATATTACAATATACTTATTCTACGTCAAATTCTACATCGATTTCATATATCACATATTAGTATTGGATAAATTGAATTTTCCCAATAAAAGTGGTCAGTTCCGCCGAACCTGAGGTCGGTCGGCCATATGGATTATATCAATGCAGTGTACTTTCATTTTATATAGTCAAATCCTTGGTGTAAGCTTAGGAAGATTCCCGCATACTATGGATGGCTGTTGTTAGTCAAATTATGCCATTACTAACCGTTCAATCGAGTTTACCGTTGTTTAAATATGACTAATCTTGATCACCTTGACGAGCCCTTTCCATTGATATAGCATATGATATGCTTTGAAGTAAAATAATACACTTTTACAACACCCGAAATATTGGTCACTTCGGGACCCGATTTGGAGGTCATGTACCACTCGGATCGGGTCGACGTAATTATAGCTATTGTTAGTTAGCATGAGATCTATCGATTGGCACCGAGAAAATCCTGGTACCTCTCAGAGGCTGATTTTCCTCAAATTCGATATTCTCTTTTGTTAAAATAACTATTTTTCAAACTAAATTACAAATTTAATTAAATACATACTATACATAGTAAACGTCAGAAACATGCAATTAAAAATTATGTTTTATTACAAATTATAACATTGTATTTAAGAAATTGTTATGTCATAAACTAATTAAAACTTGTTAAAATGGTTGCACAAAATAATGTTTATAATAATAAATTTAATCAAAATTAATGATTAATTATAAAAATGTCGGAATCTGTATAAGAAATTTCACTCTATAAAGAGAGACATTTGCAGAGACGTTAATATTCTGTAATATTCTGTAAACACATCAATAGCTCTAAAATAATTGTGAAATTGATTGAGATTCCAGTTGTTGTGAGTATTTTGTGGTAAAAACTGCATTACATATACAGGGGCTCAGCGTTAAGACTGTTAGCGATTGTCGATAATATAAAGTACATGAATAGTATTATGTTTAAAATTAGTAAAAATCAGTTAATTTTGCGAAAAACAACTTATAATCATTTGAGCTAAACTTTTAATGTACTACAATCTCTTCATAATTGTTCTGGATCAAATTAGAGTGCATGAAGTGAACTTTACTAGTTGTTCAAAGTGTAAATCTAATACTTTATCCCTGTACTGTACCTGTTCATGATTAACATTTAACTTTTAACATGATGCTTATCAACCAGATTATTAACTATAGCAGTGATTTATAAACTGATCTTTTAATTCTAAATATTTAGTTTCACAACGAAAACAAGCATTAAATACTACTTTTTGAGAATCTAGTTCGCTGTGTACTAATTAACCTAGTACATTTGTTTATAAAAATATCAAACATTATAAAATTGTTTTGCTAATTATTTTAAAGTGTACATAATGCACATTAAATTATTTAAACATAATTAAAATTTGAAATATAATCATCACTATAAAATATCACTTTATACAATGTTAATAGTGAAAACTTAATTATTACTTTAATTTAAAAATATGTTTTTAACGCAATTCATAAATATTTGCGAAACTAATAGATAATAAGTCTATGAATAAGATTATAAGATATATTCGCCAAAAATTTTTGAGATAATAATTATGGTATAAAAGAGGTGTAAATGTCAGGCAATTTCAGCACTTGTGCACTAATTGATGGCAAACATGAGTCCAGTCTTCAGTTTGGGTCTAATTCTAGCAATTCTTTGCATTTCTAGTACTTATGCTGAAGACAATGACGGAGAAGACCTGAATGGGTTGATCGCACCGGACATCAGGGCCGAAGTGGAGGCCACCATAACCATCGATGAATTGGGAAAGGTATGAACAATACCACAAAAATTATCACTAAATAACCCAGACATAAACTATAAATTATATGCAATGCACTATCACCTGGATCAGATGTTTAACGAGTTGTTGCAAAACATCGAGGGCAATCGGCACAACTTGAAAGCCTGCCAGGACTGTAACACATCGATCACATTCGGCCGAATGCTCGTCCAATCACCGGATCTGATCAAATCGTTGGCGCCAACCATTTGCAAGTCCGTCACGTACTCGACCCGCGTATGTGTGGGAATGTTGGAGCGTATGTCCGAACCGTTGGCCACACTATTTCAACGCTCAAAGATCACGACACCTGAAATGTGTGCCACACTCTTGTCGCCCGACTGTATGACACTGTTTGGCCTACCGTTCACTCATAATGTAAGTATATTTTACATAGATATTAAATTGTTATGAAACTTATTGAATAAACAATAATGATGAACAATTATAATTTTGAAAACCAAGATCAATTGGGTGTTACCACTGCCTAAACCCAAACCATTCGCACCGAAAGTGGGATCCGATAAACAGCTAAAAATGGTTCACTTGACTGACGCTCACTTGGATTTATGGTATACTCCGGGCTCTAAAAGATCAATTGGGTGTTACCACTGCCTAAACCCAAACCATTCGCACCGAAAGTGGGATCCGATAAACAGCTAAAAATGGTTCACTTGACTGACGCTCACTTGGATTTATGGTATACTCCGGGCTCTAACTCGACGTGTAGTGAACCGGTTTGCTGTCGGTCCACATCTCCCGGCGATAACAGCCATAGGGCTGGCTATTGGTCGCAAACAAAGTACTCGTGCGACTGTCCGCTCAATTTCGCCCAAAACTCGATCCAACAAATTGGTGACAAACATAAAGACATAGATTTGGTGATCTGGACGGGAGATAACATACCCCACGACGTCTGGAACACCACCAAAGAAGTCAATATACAGCACATCCGGGCCATGACTGACGCCATGAAGAAAGCATTTGCCGACAAACCACTGTTTCCCTGTCTCGGCAATCATGAGGCGCATCCCATTAACTTGTAAATTATTATGATACTTTTTATATGCATTACTATTTTATTTATGGTAATATTTTTCTGCTCAGGTATGTGCCCAACAGTCTGTCCATTGAAACTCAGGGTAAAGTCTCCATGGGATGGCTGTACGACACTCTGGCCGACGATCTCTGGTCCCAATGGATAGACACCGCGGAGGCGAAGAAGACCTTCAAAAAGGGCGGCTATTATTCAAAGAGATTCAGCGATAAACTGAAAGTCGTTGTCATGAATAACAACGTCTGTCAACACGAAAACTATTACATCGCTTACGATCCCATCGATCCGGACGGACAGCTCCAGTGGCTCATCGACGAGCTCGACAGGGCTGAGACGATAAACTGAAAGTCGTTGTCATGAATAACAACGTCTGTCAACACGAAAACTATTACATCGCTTACGATCCCATCGATCCGGACGGACAGCTCCAGTGGCTCATCGACGAGCTCGACAGGGCTGAGACCGAGGGCTCCTATGTTATGCTATTAGGTATAACCAATATTAATTGTTAATTAATTAAATAACCTGGTTATTTAGCTAAATATTTTTGATAAATAACATGTTATGTACTATTAGGACACATACCGCCGCACGAATGCTATACCTCGTGGACTAATAACTACTTCCGGATTGTGGAGAGGTATCAACACGTGATTGTGAGCACGTATTTCGGTCACACACACGTCGACGAGATTATTGTCTTGTATAATAAAGATCTCGATACTAATGGCACGTACGCTATATCTCATGGCTATATCGGCGCCAGTCTTACCACGTATTCGCTGTTGAATCCTGGCTACAGAATATTCACGTTAGATAGCAATGTAAATACCATTATGATTTATTTAATGTTGATTCACTTTGGTGTTGTTATTTAATTTAATTTTTAATTAATATAAATTTTTAATTATAGGGAAAGCCTTTGGATTTTGATATATTTTACACGAATGTAACCGAAGATAATATTGAAGGCCAACAAATATCGCCCAAATGGGAAACAGATGTGTCGGCCAAACGAGTCTATGGTATGGATTCGTTGACCACAGAATCGTGGGATCTATTCATGACAAGAGCCAAAACCGATGATAAACTCGTTGAGAGTTATATCAATCATTACCACCGATTCAGCGATGATTACATTCAAGAGAAGACCAAATCCGGTGAATATAATATCAAGAATTTGAGGAATATTTTGTTAAATAAACAAACACTAAATCCTATTTATAATTTGTTACCAAATAATTACAAATAAATTATATTTTTTGGAAATATTCAATAAATTTTATTTTAAAATGTTATTGGAAGTATTATTTTATTTAATATACAAAATTGATCTTGGTGAATTAATATGGCATTAAAAATATATCATTGAGAAAATTACGTTTAATTGAAATGAAATTTGTTTACATATAGTTTTTTAAATTTTTTATTTCAAATAGAGATGATAAATACATAATAAAATTTGAGAAATAAACTTTTAAAAACTATTTTCATTTACAAAACTAAACATCAAATAAATAATAAAACAAATGAATTAACTCTCGGATGAAACGGATGTAGAATTGTATGTGAGTTCAGAGACACTACCATTTGGTTTGGGTTTCGAAGACAATGAATGGCAGAAATGGTGGCAAAAGACCCACAGAAGACACATCACTCCCGAAGCGGCGACTGTCAGACAAAACCAACCGTACGTTTGATTGAATGGTTCGGCGAGAAGACAGATATAGATACCGGCGCTGACGGCACAGACACTGATCGTCACATAATAGGCGATAATTGAATAGTGAAAGCGTTTCTCATAAACCGATTGCAATCGTCTCTGTTGTGTCAGTTCTCCCAGAAGTAGACTCTTATAGACACCGATAACCAGTGTCTGCGCGGCGACGGCGGCGACGGTCAGCGACGCGAACTGAACGGCCATTCGGGACAACAATGTGTGGCCAACGGACAGGTGTTGAACAAATGTGGCGATGAATGCTACAAACGAAATGTCCGCAAAGAGTAACCAAATCACTTCCAGCGTCGATAGTGTCACCTCATTGTAGCCGATGTGGGCCTTCAGCGGCGTGTCTTCGATGTCGTCTAGCGGTTGTCCGGCGGGAATCAGTCGGAAGCGCCGCACGTATCGCACGATATTCTTCTGGATCTTGTAGTCGACGCCCGGAACTCTCTCTCCCAGAATACAGTGAACAGATATGGACAGCAATACAATCTTCAGGTCGTCGCCCGAGTGACGGCACTCAACGGTCTTGAGGGGTGGAAGCGCTGTGAGTCTCCACTGACGGATTATCAAATCAACGACCGGTCGTTTGTCCAACACATTGGCTAAGAACCGGAGCTGAGGTGCTATTGGGTTGTGATAATTGGCGTATTAAATGGTAGGCCATTGTCTGGTCATTACTGGCATTACATACCGACGCTTTGGTGATCGTTAGTGAAGAACTCGATATCAATGGTAACGCCAGTGAGTATCGTATCCATGGATTCTTTGGCCAGACGTACGAAATAGCAGTACTGATACTGACATGTCTTTGCACTGCAATTAATTGTCTGATAGAATTGTGTCTTCTCGTGACTGTCGGGCGTCAGGAGTAGTGTTACTAACGGTTTAAACGCCACAATCATCGCCAGCGCCCAGAAAGTGACCACGAAATACATGTGATAGTAGTCGTCCTCCAGTTGTCTGCACTCGCATCGGATCCGTTCGTTGTCTTCGACGGGTTTGCAGTATTTGTTTGATCCGTAAGTATTTAATGTTCTGATTCGACACGATATCAGATACGAGTCCTTCACACTAAATGATTGGCTGTCGAGCAACGGATCCGTTGATATCTCAAGAGTTATCACTTTGGGATCAAAATTCAAGTCTTTCATCAGCACCTGTTTGTCGGTCTCGTCCGGCGATATCATAGCAACGGTGCCGTTAATCGCAAACCGATGGCCACCAGTGGTGACCGCAAACGGACTCAACAATTTGATCCATAAGACAAACAGATGGGCCGAACGCGTGAACGGCTGACCACCGAAAGACAGCTCAAGAACGCCATTACCGGACAAATTGCGGACAGATTTGCATGAAATGTATTCATAGAGATAGTGGTCGTCGTCCGACAGGTAGACAGTTGTGGCCGCGAAGTCGTGTCCGCCCGGAACCAGCGCTCGACACGCGTCGGGTGTTAGATGAAACCCTTCCGAATGGTCGCTGTCTTTGTGGTTCGCGCGGATCCGTTGCAACAGTGGATATATGCGATCACCAAAGTTGTAATGATAGCGACATAAGTCTTGGTAGTCTTCAATGATATTGCCATCACTGACCAGCACTTGACACCCAATTATCATCACTACTGCTATCACTATTGCATTCATTTTGGTTTCAGATATTTTGCCGTTTGTTTTGCGCTTATAATTGAAACCAAATTTGAATTTAATTATTGTTTTGTCGGTTGTTTTAGTTGTAGTAAATCTCGTGTCCAATAGTGTCAATGCAACTACATTTTTCAATTAATTTTACGCTTATTTCTATTAGAAATGAAAAGCAAATGTTTTATTGATATTATCAAAGGATATGACAATTAAAGACAAATAAATGTTTAAAATATCTATAAATAAACTGCATTTAAAAACTATTAATAAATTAGATTATAAATTGAAATAACAGTTAAATTTGCATACAATGAAAACAGATGAGTAAATGCTTAACATATTTTGCAGGCATTTATAACTATAGACAGAAAAAACTGTCATAACATAGAGAAAAATTTTGTAAAGTTTTTTGTGACTTTTGTTTCAAACAAACAAATTGTTTGAATGTATTTTCGGTACACTTTGTTTAGCCATTGAGTCCATTGAAGACAATATCACTATAATCGCCGCCGAAGAAGTGGACTTGAATTGCCGTCAAATGCCTCAATACTTGGGATTAAACTACTTTAAAATCGCTTCAATTGATTGTCGTTTCGGTGATGAAGAGTTTGTTAGTGAAGGCCTGCCATCGATTGAAGACAATAATGGATCAGTTGGTGACAATCGCAGTCATTTCGATGAATCACTTCACGAAGACATCGACGCCGACAGTGATTTTGAGGACCAATTAGACGATGAATTGAATGCAAACAAAATGACAGCAAATGATAAGTTGCGCAAAACTGTGGGCTCCGGAGGAAGTGGTCATTTAATTGATTCAGAACAGATTACAAATAATTCGTCTGTGATATCAAAATCACTGATGAACAGGCCATTGTTAAATGCATACTTGCATATATTTAGCAGTGCATAGTATCGGTATGAGTGTCCGTATGTCCACCGATCACGTACTGGGGGTCACTTTAGCCGAGTTTATAATGCATATAAACGCATATTTCATGGGTTACCGCATATTTTAACTATAACTGCATTTTAAGCGCATATTTTACTAATTTATTAAAAATGTATGAGTTTTTATGTTGTTATATTGATATTTAGTTATTTGCAAGCTAATTAATAACGTACCAAAATTATAAATGTGAATTAAGTCACATATAAATAGTTCTTTGTTCTAAATAACATGAAAAACTAATGAAATAAAATTTTCCCAAAAGTGTGTGCTTTTGAAACATTGATTAAAATTGAGCATTTTTTACTAAATATATTCGAAAACTCCTCAAATTATATTTAAGTATTCAAAATGTTACCAAGTAACTTTATAATCGATATATTAATTGCAAAATTGCAATATTCATCAATAAATTTATGAAAAATAAATGCATATTTTAGTGCATATTTGACCCTGTTTACTTGCATATTATATGACATATTTGACTGCTTATAAATGCATATTTAGAAATGCCCTGCTGATGAATAACTTTGTAATTAATGCAAGAGTTTTGTCAAACCCTTCCACTTCAACACAATTGACGGCAAACTCAACACTTGAAACCAGTATTCAATCGATTGCTTCCACTTCTTCTACAATGTCTGATGCCTCGAGCCTCTATTTTTCGGGATTAAAAACACTGAAATTCGGGCGGGAATCGGGAGTATAAAAAGGTCAAATTCGGGAACAAAATCGGGAACAAAAACTCATAAAATTAAGCATGTAAATGAAGTTATTGGGTATTTTTGTCGCTTAAAAATGATTTATAAATTGTATTAAAGTCCATTTCATCATATTATTCTGTAATTTCTGTAATTAAGCAGTAAATTAACGTCTCAAATTCTGATTTTTACAAATTTTGCTAATTTAAAAATAAATGTGATCATGAAATCACAACATACTATTAATATTGCCATCATAAATGTGTTAACTCGTATCATAATTAAAATAATTTCGTATTTAACGCCAACATTTATTAGATTTTGTATCTAAATATGCTAAATTCTTTATTATTTTCAATAAAAACGGAGTTTTCGGACAAATCGGGAATAAAATGGGCTATTCGGGAGTTTTCGCAAAATATGCCAAAATTCGGGAAAATAAAAATGATATATTTTGGAGCCTTTATAACCCTCGAGACTAATGTGATGTTATTCCCGATCATTTGAGTAACTAAATTTAATCGGGAATTCCCGAAAAATAAAGGCTTTACTGATGCCTTTAGGATACAGGCGTCTTAAGTAGTATTACAATACTGATTTTTTCATCGTTAACCACATGTCATATTTTTACATGTAATTAGTTGTACTAAAAATGAATGTGTAATTACTAATGTAAACAAGGGCGGAAATTAATTATCATTGTAAGCATAATTGAAATTGATATAAATGATGTTCAGTAATTACGTTATTCACTATAAAAAACGTAAAGTTTACATAACTGATACTAAATTTATTAATTTTTACCATATAACTTTTGTCGATTATGTTAGATTTGAGAAATTTTTTCGGGTTTCGATTCCACTCATCCATACCTTTCTATTGATATATAATATGTCATGGTTATTTATAAAATAAAAGATTTGATTTTCAAAATTTTGCCGATAAAAGTGGTACTACGGCCAGACCCAAAAGCATCTGAACATATATAGTATATTACTCGACTACCTATTGAGTCATACACTAAACTTGGCATAGATTTATTCTTATTGACAATGTTGAGTTTATAGGACTAATGCTAATTCTATGGATAAAATTGATCGTATGGGACTAATGCATGTTAACTCTATGAACAATGGTAATTTATTCTTTAAGTAATTCCCGAATTGTGATTAATTTATAACATCGTTGTGTGATTCTTGTTTACAAATAAATATAAAAATTATAAGTCTTTATATTTATTAAACTAAATGTAATTAAAAATACAAATTTAAAAATAAATCCCAAAATGTATTTAAAAATACAATTTTAATTATAAACTCAATATTGTACTACAATACACATAAAATAGGACCAAATGGGATCGGGATACTATCATATAACTTATAACATCAAGAACAATTCTGAT